CAATAACCAATCAACACACAGTTTTACAGTAATACACGCCTCTTCTCTGCCTGGGAGATATTGAGATAAGTTAAGGAATAAACCAATTATCTCCAGGCAGAGAGCACACAATTTCCCCAAAACTTAGAACATCCCTTTCCCCACAAATTACATATCCCCTGATAGCCCCGATCTGGGGGACAAACATATCCAAATTTCACCGGTTCAGGGGTTCTGAAAAAGTGTGGAGGGTCCCTTTTACCGACCACACACGCCGCTCCTCTCCCAAAACAGTTCCACGAATTCAGTGTGTGCGGTCAGACAATTCACAAAACTGTAAAAAACGAACAAAAGTCCCGAATGGATCCCCCTGGCCCATAGTAGCGATTGCTCCCCTTGTCCGTTCGCACAGAACTACCGAATGAGGCTTTCCTGGCTGTTCAGGAAATATGAGAAGCCGGCGTTCGGTAGTTTTCAGCGGTAGTTCGCGAGGTCGAGTGTCCGATTTTAGTTCCAGACACTCGACGACCAAGTCCCGCTGGCTCTCCCCGTCCGAACAAGATGGCCGCCGTTTTCTTTTCCACGTGGCGTTCGGTTGTACGAACAGCGGCCGCCCAGGGAGCACTTAATGGCTGGTTCCTTTGAAGTAAATGAGCCAGGAGGGTGGTCAGCGTTCGGTAGTTTCAAACTACCGAACCAATCCATTTACTATACAAGTAATAACACATAAAAATACTGAATAAAAAGGAGAAAATGATAGGTAAAAGTCAATTTTCTTCACATTTACCATTATCTCTATAAACACTTATTTTTTTTATTTTTTTTGCAGCAGTTTTATACATCTAGGAAATACAATATGGCTACTACCAGTTCTCTTCTTTATGTTGATTTTTAAAAAAATATATTTAAGGTTTAATCCTTGCAAGTTTTATCTCTAGCTGTACGTTGAAAGAAAGTCCCTTTCTCAGGCAGCGCTCTTCCAGAGCAAATAGAAGAATGGGACATATACAAATACACACTACAGAAAAAGCAACAAGAGGAACACCAATAGCATAATACGGTATGATAAAAATGGAGTATGAATATACTGCACTCACAAAAGTACATTGATAGTAGGCACATCAGAGCTGTATCACAACTTTGTCAAGAAAACCTTCTTTCTTCCAAATCAATATATGTGGGAAAAGAGAGACATCCATATAGTGTAGTAGGAAAAACAATTAACACTATTTTATTAATATTGCACTCAAAGGAGCTGGATTAACCCCTTAAGGACCAAACATCTGGAATAAAAGGGAATCATGACATGTCACACATGTCATGTGTCCTTAAGGGGTTAAATCACATCACAAGCCACTAGGTCTGTAGCCAAAAAAAAAAACCTAAGAGGTAGCAGGAAAACAGGAACACAGTGAAAGGTGGTGAACAGAGTTGAGCGAACCTGAACTGAAAAGTTCGGGTTCGTACCGAACATTACGTTTTTTGGACCCCAGACCCGAACACGGACATATCACTGTATGTTCGGGTTGGAGTTCGGTGTTTGGCGATTTAATGAAGTGTTTTGAAAGGCTGCAGGGCAGCCAATCAACAAGCGTTTGACTCGTGTGCCCTTAGAAGATATCAGAGCCATGCCTACTAATGGCATGGCTGTGATTGCCCACTGCAGCATGTGACCCAGCTAGCAGGGGCATGTTTATTAAACAGTGAGCAGCCTGTGGCTGCATACTGTTAAAAAAAAAAAATTCCCCCCTCCTGAGCCCCCACCCGCGACACGCGAGTGGGGGCTTTAAAACTAAACGGGGGACTTATTGCCCCCCCGGCCACCACCCCTGAGCGGCGGGTGGGGGCCCTAAACTAGAATAAGGGGGGGGCCTAATGTCCTCCCCCTTGGCCCCACCCCTGAGCGGCGGGTGGGGGCCATAAATAAAAATTGGGGGGGGGAACCTAATACCCTCCCCCCCAGCACCCACCCCTGCGCGGTGGGTGGGGGCCATAAATAGAAATAACACTCTGATTGGTTACTTAATCCACCAATCAGAGTGCTCTGTGTCATTTTACTTTCCCACTCTGTCTTAAATGACATAGAGCACTCTGATTGGTGGATTTCAAGCCAACCAATCAGAGTGCTGTGACAGGTAAATGAGTGCTCTGAGCCTAATTGCAGGGCGGGGCAAGGCTTTATAAGCTTTCCCCTGCCCTGCAGAGCTCAGTCTGCGCGGAGCCCTCCATGGGTGAAGAAGGATTATTATTTTTTTGCGCTGTTTTTTTTTGTTTGTTTTTAAAGTGCGTCGGTTATTCTGGATTTTTATTTGGCCTTTTTTGGGGGTTGAAAAAAGAAGATTTTAGAAGACATCAAACGGTAAGTCTATTTTTTTTTACAGGTATTTAGACAAGGGTCCCCCCTCATTATTTTTAGGATTAGGTAGGGGTAATTATTTTGGGGGGAGGGGTGTGACTAGGGGTTTGGGGACCCCTAGTGACCTGGGGTAGAAATTTTTATTTATGGTCCCCACCCACCACTCAGGGGTGGGGGCCGGGGGGAGGACATTAGGTCCCTCCCCCTTATTGTTATTTAGGGCCCCCACCCACCACACAGGGGTGGGGGCTGTGGGGGAGGACATTAGGTTCCCCCCTAATTTTTATTTATGGCCCCCACCCACCGCTCAGGGGTTGGACCGGGGGGGAGGACATTAGGTCCCCCCCCCAATTTTTATTTATGACCCCCACCCACTGCTCAGGGGTGGGTGCCGGGGGGGGAAGACAGGAGGTCCCCCCCTTATTGTTATTTAGGGCCCCCACCCGCCGTGCAGGGGTGGGGGCCGGGTGGAGGACATCAGGTCCCCCCACTTGTTATTTAGGGCCCCCACCCGCCACACAGGGGTGGGGGCCGAGGGGGGAGGACAGTAGGTCCCCCCCAAAATTTTTATTTAGGGCCCCCACCCGCCGCACAGGGGTGGGGGCCGGGGGGAGGACATTAGATCCCCCCCAATTTTTATTTATGGCCCCCACCCACCGCTCAGGGGTGGGGGCCGGGGAGGGAGGACAGTAGGTCCCCCCCTTATTGTTATTTAGGGACCCTACCCGCCGCGCAGGGGTGGGGGCCGGGGTGGAGGACAGTAGTTCCCCCCCTTATTGTTATTTAGGGCCCCAACCCGCAGCGCAGGGGTGGGGGCCGGGGGCCGGGGGCGAGGACAGTAGGTCCCCCTCCAAATTCTTATTTATGGCCCCCACCCTTGCGCAGGGGTGGGGGCAATAGGTTTTTTTTTTTTCTTTTTTAAAGTGAGCAGCCACTGTGAAAGCTGGATCTCTGTTTAGCAGTTTTGTCCTAGGTTGAGAAGCTTCTTCAGAACAAGTATGAAAGATATATGCAGACTGCCTGTTTGTCACTGAAGCTGATTCTGCAGAGGTTTCTGCCATCGATCACAGATAACCCTGGCTACTCTACCTCCTGTTGGCATAGACATAGCCCATTAGAAAAAGGCTCACAAAGTGCAAAATGTGTTACAAGCAGGTGCGGACACTTAGTCCGCAGATAAAAATCTGCACTTCACAGAGCAGCAGCATTTTTGTATTACTGATTTTGCTTGTATGTACATTTGATTGTTCTAACTATTTTTGATAGATGAAGAAAGCCACTTAAGTGGCAGAAACATATAGGACTACTTATATTCCTTTGAGTTTTATTAGTCTAAATAAAATACATTTTGGTTCTGCCGTTCAGGGCCTGGGGGTGGCAGCCTTGGGGAGTTCTTGTTCATGGGATCTTGTGGGTTCATGTTGGCTGGACAGTTTTGGCAACTTTAGGCACCTTGATGGCTTTATCTGGATGGTGTTGTTGTCCTGCCTGTGGACTCTGGGCGTGTGTTACAAAGACTCGATATGACTCTATTATTGTTACCACGTCTCGCTACTGTTGCACCCTAACCCCTTTCATAAAGAACCCTATGCTATCGGTACTGAGACTATACGAACGGATTACACGAATCATTATAAACGACAATTCGTGGTACGAACGAGAGACCCCCCAGACTTTGGCGTGTGCCACCACTTAACCTCATCATCTCTCGAAGTACCGAATGGCCGACCACCCGACGAGCGGAGTGTGTCGCTCATTAACCACCTAAGGCGCTGCGGTCTGCGGTTAACCACAAACTAATTGACGATCCCGGAGGATCCACATTCGTATACAATTTACCGAATGGAAGTTGACTATGTATGCGATTTCCGTTCCATAAGTGTTGAGTCGAGGTCCCGCTGCCTATTGAACAGCCTAAAAACATGGCCACCATCAGAAATCGCCCATTCCGTTCGTGGGGTCTGGGCGCAATTCGGATACTTAATGTGCCCGGACCCGAGCTATCGAATGAATGGTGGAATGAACCGTTTTCTCCCCAAAACGTTATGCATTTTTATACTGTTTTATGGGACATAATAAAACGTGGTCTTTTGTGCGCTTGGAGATAATTAGATTGTATAACCGTTGGCCTATTATCTCCAAGCTGGGCGGGCACTAATTCAAATGATACATTGTATTGTGATTGGTTAACTTCGTGTACTGTACCTGTATCCCATCAGGTCCATAGGGGGCTGTCCTTGGACCTGAGGAATTGCATAAATTGCCATGTTTGTGTGCCAGTAAAGTTAGTTCGTTTTTGACCCTCAACTCGCAGCCTCGACTCGTGTTGTAGGAATCCGGGAATACTAGCACTCTCTTCGCTAGTGGGATATTCTACACTTGCAGATTCTACCGAAGGAAACTACGTTCGACTCTCTGACTGCGGGAACCAGGACATCCAAGCGATCAACCCCCCTGCTAGACCGGGGGCAATCGTAACAATTGGTGGCAGCGGCGGAATCATCCTAGAATCCCTAAGAGAGATATAGGACGGATGGAGAGCAACAACGATAAGTTGAAGCGCACCACGTTGAAGGATTTACTCGAGAGCCGAGTTGGAAACGCGAGTAACCGGCCAAGGAGAGAATTGATTGCTGACCTAAACGAGTTGGATCAAAGCTTCAGCATGGCAGAACCCACGGTAATCCCCAGCGACGAGAAGACAAGGATTGTCAGGGAAAGACTTCCCTTATACGGGCCGAACACCTCCGCAGAACTAGTGCAACAATTGATGGCAGAGGCAGAGGCGGATATACAACGAGCTAGAGCCCATGAGCTTAATATAGCGACCGCTCAGCAGGGGATCGCGGCTAATGCCCACAACGGCTTCACGGAACTGGCAGAACAACCAAAGATTCCGTTCGCGGCATTCAAACCGTTCGTGGAGAACAAAATGGGGATCGACAAATTTTTAGCCGATTTTCAGAGACAATGCGCACTACATCAAATCCCCACAACAGCGTGGCCGCGTATCCTGGCTTGGAAATTAGCCCGGTGGGCAATAGAAGCCTTCAGGACGCTCAGCGCCGAAGAAGTGGCCCAATACCCGCTAGTAAAGGACACTCTGCTGAAACGGTACGCCGTAACTCCCGACACCTACCAAAGGCAGTTCCGCAACTCGAAAAAGAAAGCAAATGATACCCATGCCGAATGGGCCCACCGAATGTGGAGGGCTGCTACCCATTGGATTAACCCCTTAAGGACCAAACTTCTGGAATAAAATGGAATCATGACATGTCACACATGTCATGTGTCTTTAAGGGGTTAACGGGTGTCGGGCAGTCACGGCAGCAGAAATTTTGGAGTTATTTTTGTTGGAACATTTTTATGAGGGACTAGAACAAAAAGACAGAGAGTGGTTGAAAGACCGACGCCCTAACAACCTTCACAAAGCGGCAAGAATGGCTGATGAACACCGGGATGCTCAGATTCAGGAGTTCAGCAACTCCCGAACGATAACCCGTACCGAACCAAGAGACACGTACTGAACCAACCCACGAACTGAGTTTCGTACGCCTGTGCCGGCAGGACCTACACGGTACACTGGACCACCCAGCAACTACAACCAAAAGCGCTCCCGTCCCACCTGCTTCAAGTGCAAACAACCGGGACACCTTATTGCTAATTGTCCCCTCAACAACACTTATCCTGCACGGAACTACAATTCGTCCCCGTCGGGAAATAATCGCTCATCTCGCGCTTTTTGTATTGAAAGAGAAAGCACCCTGGAAGAATATCTGGTACCCCTACATGAAGCCAACCCTGTATATGCTGCGAGCGACAACAAGCAACACCACAGACAAGAAGTGCTACTGGAGGGCCGCCCCACCCAGGGGTTAAGAGACACAGGGGCCACCATCACCTTGGTACAAGGCAGACTAGTCCCCGAGCACAAGCACTCTACAGACACTGTCGCGGTCAGGGTGGCCGGAGGGGACATATACAAACTACCAACAGTGAAAGTACACTTGGATTGGGGAGCGGCGAAAGGACTTGTGAGGGTGGGAATTATGGATAACTTACCGGCTGAAGTTTTGCTGGGAAACGACCTGGGCCCCATGACTTCAGCATATGCGCCTTCCTACAACTCGGAGGCATATCCAGTGACTACCCGGTCGCAAGCAGGGAGGGCTCGAGACCCTTCACCTGTGTGGGAAACTCAGGTAAGACTCAACCTGACTGTGACTAATCCCCCTTCACCATTACCCTGGGATACCCCTGCAGCCTTTGAGGCTGAGACCAAAACTGACCCGACTCTCCAAGAGTATAGGGAAAGAGCCGATACAGGGACTGGGGGATCAGACCATGAGACCTTCGTATGGGAGCAGGCTGACTGTACCGACACGCAGAGAAGAAGGGCCACCGTAGGAGACAGCTAGTTATTCCCCACAAATATAGACGAGATATACTCCGGGTTGGTCATGATATCCCATTAGCCGGACACTTAGCAGTAACCCGTACCCTCCATCGTATTACCCATACGCTCTTCTGGCCAGGGGTACATGCAGATGTGAGAACCTATTGCAATACGTGTGAGGTTTGCCAAAGGGTAGGCAAGAGAGGAGACCACCCTAAGGCGCACTTTGTTAACATGCCCATTATAGAAGAGCCTTTTAGCCGAGTAGCCATCGACTTAGTAGGGCCACTTGCAACCCCCAGTCCATCCGGAAAGAGATATATTCTTACCGTAGTGGACTACGCTACCCGGAAGCCGTGGCTCTATCCAATATACAAGCAGACACCGTGGCTAATGCCTTAGTTCAGGTCTTCTCTCGGGTGGGATTCCCTCGGGAGATCCTATCCGACCGAGGTACCCAGTTCACTGCGGAACTAACACAGCAGCTATGGCATGTCTGCAAAATAAAATCCCTCCTCAGCTCCCCGTATCACCCCCAGACTAATGGGTTATGTGAGAGGTTCAATGGAACCCTCAAACAGATGTTAAAAACCTTCACTCAGGAGTACAGAGACTGGGAACATTTCCTGCCGCATCTCCTGTTCGCTTACCTGGAGGTGCCCCAGGAAACAACCGGATTCTCTCCCTTTGAGCTGCTATACGGAAGTAAGGTACGGGGCCCCCTGAACCTTATCCATGAGCACTGGGAGGGAGAGACGGAGAATGCTGGAGTCCCCATCGTACCTTATGTACTGGAGCTGAAGGACCGTATGGAGCAGTTGGCCAGGTCGGTCCAGGCTAACCTCCAGGCGGCCCAGAGGCGACAGAAAGTCTGGTATGACAGGGGGGCACGGTGGAGGAGTTTTTGTATAGGACAAAATATTATGGTGCTCAAACCAGTTAAAGCAGACAAGCTGCAAGCAGCCTGGCAGGGACCTTACCAAGTAGTGGAGAAGAGAGGGGACACTACCTACGTGATTGCCAGCTGTCACGATGAGAGCCTGTGGAAGATATTCCACGTAAATATGCTGAAGGAATACCTACAGAGGCCAGAGGATGTGTCAGCCATATGTAGTCCCGCGTCTGAGGACCCTGATAGTCTTCCCATACCCGACCTGTTAATTCCGAACTCCCCATCTGAGATAGTGAACCAAGTACAGATCGGGGACCGACTTAACCCAGCAGAGAGGGAGCAGCTCCACAAACTGCTCCGAGAGAAACAGGCAATGTTCTCTCAGGAACCAGGGTACACAGATTTAGCCACTCACCAGGTAGACCCCTCTGGGCAGCAACCCTTAAGACAGGCCCCCTACCGGATCCCGCAGGCGGTTCAGGCAGGGATGAAGAAAGCAATAAATGAGATGCTCAGACTAGGGGTCATTGAATCTTCCGATAGTCCCTGGGCATCCCCGGTGGTTCTGGTACCCAAGAAAGATGGCACTACCATAGTCTGTGTGGACTATCGGAAACTCAATGATAAAATCGTCACCGACGCTTATCCCATGCCCAGGGTAGATGAGCTACTGGACCGCATAGCCAGGGAACTACCAAACTACCTAACTACCATTGACCTCTGTAAAGGTTATTGGCAAATTCCCCTGGCCAGGGAAGCTATCCCCAAGTCGGCATTCGTCACCCTGTTCGGCTTATACCACTTTAAGGTCATGCCATTCAGGATGAAGAATGCCCCCGCCACATTCCAGCGCTTGGTGGATAGACTCCTTGATGGCTTCCAGGAATTTGCCTGCACATACCTGGATGACATAGCGATCCATAGTGAGTCCTGGGAGGAACACTTAGCCCATGTAGGAATGGTCCTGGATCAGATTCGGGCCGTGGGCCTGACACTGAAGCCAGAAAAATGTCATTTTGGGAGGTACAGTACCTGGGTCACCGAGTGGGATGCGGGAAGCAGCGACCAGAGCCAGCCAAGATAGAGGCGGTCGGAAATTAGCCTACCCCGCACACTAAGACCCAAGTGCTAACCTTCCTGGGCACGGCTGGGTACTACAGGAGATTTGTACCCGATTACAGTGCTATTGCTAAACCCCTGACTGACCTGACGAAGAAAAATCTTCCCCGACAGGTCCTGTGGACTCCCCACTGTGAAACTGCTTTTCAAACGCTCAAAACTGCTCTAATTAATGCTCCTGTCTTGGTTGCCCCAGCCCCTAATCAACGCTTTATCGTTCATACAGACGCTTCCATGTTCGGGCTGGGAGCTGTCCTCAGCCAAGTAGGAGACGATGGAAAGGAGCACCCGATTGCCTACATCAGCCGAAAGCTCCTACCATGCAAAGCCAGCTATGCTGCAGTGGAAAAGGAGTGTTTGGCCCTGGTGTGGGCACTAAAGAAATTAATTCTCTACTTGTATGGACAAGAGTTCACTCTGGTTACAGACCATAACCTGTTGGTATGGCTCAACCGGGTTGCTGGGGATAATGGCCAGTTGTTACGCTGGAGCTTATCCTTACAACCGTTTAATTTCACAATCACCTACCGACCCGGAAAGCAGAATGGCAATGCCGACGGGTTATCACGGCAAACTGACCTCAGCCAAGCATAATTCTTCAGTCTGGACAGCCTTAGTCTGCCTCGAAGAGGGGTCAGACAGTGTCTGCCAGAGTGTTCCACAAGGAGGGAGCATTGTTACAAAGACTCGATATGACTCTATTATTGTTACCACGTCTCGCTACTGTTGCACCCTAACCCCTTTCATAAAGAACCCTACGCTATCAGTACTGAGACTATACGAACGGATTACACGAATCATTATAAAGGACAATTCGTGGTACGAACGAGAGACCCCCCAGACTTTGGCGTGTGCCGCCACTTAACCTCATCACCTCTCGAAGTACCGAATGGCCGACCACCCGACGAGCGGAGTGTGTCGCTCATTAACCACCTAAGGCGCTGCGGTCTGCGGTTAACCACAAACTAATTGACGATCCCGGAGGATCCACATTCGTATACAATTTACCGAATGAAAGCTGCCGAGAGACTCACGAACAGAGACCACCTACAGTTTGGCATGTGGCAGTAATTAGAATATGGTTTCTGCTGTTAACCGCAGGTCAAGTACCCCCCTACCGGGCAGTCCCAGTTCGTTTGCCAAACGGTCGGAACAACCAGACTGATAGCGGGGATTCGTATGACTATGTATCCGATTTCCTTTCCATAAGTGTTGAGTCGAGGTCCCACTGCCTATTAAACAGCCTAAAAACATGGCCGCCATCAGGAACTAACGACCAAAGTGCCGAACCAGACTTTATACGGCAGAAATCGCCCATTCCGTTCGTGGGGTCTGGGCGCAATTCGGATACTTAATGTGCCCGGACCCGAGCTATCGAATGAATGGTGGAATGAACCGTTTTCTCCCCAAAACGTTATGCATTTTTATACTGTTTTATGGGACATAATAAAACGTGGTCTTTTGTGCGCTTGGAGATAATTAGATTGTATAACCGTTGGCCTATTATCTCCAAGCTGGGCGGGCATTAATTCAAATGATACATTGTATTGTGATTGGTTAACTTCGTGTACTGTACCTGTATCCCATCAGGTCCATAGGGGGCTGTCCTTGGATCTGAGGAATTCCATAAATTGCCATGTTTGTGTGCCAGTAAAGTTAGTTCGTTTTTGACCCTCAACTCGCAGCCTCGACTCGTGTTGGAGGGATCTGGGAATACTAGCACTCTCTTCGCTAGTGGGATATTCTACACTTGCAGATTCTACCAAAGGAAACTACGTTCGACTCTCTGACTGCGGGAACCAGGACATCCAAGCGATCAACCCCCCTGCTAGACCGGGGGCAATCGTAACAGCGTGCTCTTGCCTTCAGCAGTTCTCAGTAGGTTTGGCCCAAGGGTAGCCTCTAGTGCCAGTCTTGGCTCCCCATGGGCAGTATCTGGCTTCCGGGTCTTGGTTTCTGAGGTCACAGGGGGCCGCTGAGCAGGGGTGTTCCAAGTTGGCTGGGGGGGGAGCAGTCACATGGCACTTTAGGCCTGTCAATGACTCCCCATTTGCAGGGATGGCTTGGAGGGAAACAAACCCTTTCCATGCCGGTTTTGTGGGTAGATGATCACTGGTTGG